CTGCTGCCGCATCGAGGCGGCGGGCGATGAATGCGGCGGCTGCCTCCGGCTCCCCGAGGCGCCTGAGGCCCGGACCGTGTGCCAACGTTGCAGATCAGAAGGGGCCGAGTAAGTATGCGGCATGCGTGCCGTGATTTATAGTCCCTAAGTCGTTGGAGCGGCAGATGCAGGGGCAAGTGGCACCTGCCAGCCGCCGGCGGCTTGCCTGCAGGCAACCGCACGTGTGGTGACGCGCCCGGCGGCGCGCCCCTGGGAGCCGGCATACCACAAAGCCCGCCCTGCAGGGATCCTGGCCGCTTCAGGCGCACCTGAAGGCCGCCCTGACTGCGTCTAGCGCAGACGCCCCCCTCACAAGTGGCGCCGCATCCTCCGCGTCCGGGAACAGCGCCGCCGGCGCGCTGGGGTATGCCACCTGGCAGCAGCAGAACAGGTAAAAGTCCAAAGCCTCGCGGCTCGACAACAGCGCCAGCGGCGACGGCGGCGGCGGCGTGGGCGCGAGCGGGGGCGGCGGCTCTTCCCCCTGTGGGGCGGTAGGGGGCTGTATTATCTCCTGCCCCTGCTGCCCCTGCTGCCCCTGCTGCTGCTGCTGCTGCTGCTGCTGCTGCTGCTGCTGCTGCTGCTGCTGCTGCTGCTCCTGCTGCTGCTGCTGTGACAACGATGATGGCGACGACGGTCCACCTGCAGCCTCAAGGGGGCGCGCCTGCAGCACCATCCCTGCGCGATGGTTATCGGCGCCAGCAGACGCTTCAGCCCCCTCCTCCTCATCTGCATCACCATCATCATCCTCGCTGCTGGGGGCGGCCACAGCTGCCTTGGGCTCAAAACTGGAGGCCAGCCCCGTGAATATGCACAGCCAGTACGCGGGGCTGCAGCCGGCGGCGGCGTGGTGGCGTGCGCAGGCCAGCAGCTCGGCGCCGCTGTCATCGGCCAGCTGACGGAGGCCGTAACTACGACAGATTAGGCAGCGATAAGGTGGACGTGAGCGAGCGAGGTGCGGTGCAAGAAATGCTTGGACACAAAAAAATGAGATGGATGATTGTAATGATACTTGATTAGATTGGTCGGAGGTCATGAGCAAATCCAAGTGATTTGGAGCGTGGGTTATGGATCAGCTGGTCCGTGGCTGCAAAGACTACATCCGTACCAGCACGCCAGCAACAGCACAGGAACAGACACATACGAGTCGTACCACACAGATCATCACGTGCAAAGCCGCCGGCGTCTCCTGTTGCACCCCGCACCAGACGCGTCCGCGGCTGCCCCAACAGCGCCCCACCAAGCCCCCACCCAGGCCGAGCCCACTGGGCCAGCTCCACACTGCGTCGCTGCCTGACCCCGTCACGCCTCCAAATAACGCGCTCACACCAAAAACCATGGTGGCACCCCTCACCGATGCATGTGCCAGTCCAAGAAAAACGGCCCCAGCTGCGCCCTTCGCGCGCCCGCCGCGTCGGCCGCTGCGTCTGCGGCCGCCTTGTCAGCGAAGAGCAGGCCAGCAGTCTTGACGGTCCACTGGCGGCTTCGTGTGGCCTTCGAGGCGGCGGCGCGGCGCAGGAGCGCCGCAAACGGGGTTGCTTGGGGCTGGAGGGGTTTGAGGTGAGGGAAAAGGGGGGTGTGGCGTCACTGAGTGGTGTCAGTGCATGGTATGGCCAGGCAAACGGAGTGGGGACACGGGGACAGGGGGGCAGAGTCATCGGTGAGAATCTCTTGAAGAAAGCAGGTGCTTGCATGGCCATTAGCACGCGCTTGGATTTCGACGGCTGGACGCGCCAAGCCACAAATGCTGCACTGGTGCTGAGCGGCAGCCTGGGGCTCGAACAAGCCGCGCAGCACCCGCGCGAAAGCCGCGCTACGCGGCATGGCGTCAGCCGTTGGTGTTGCTTGAGGCCGCAGCGCACCTCGACGTCCTCATCCGTTTCCTCCGCCCCTTCCACGGCGTCGGCAACCTCCTCCAGCGCGTGCTGCAACGCCGCGGGGCGGCGGCTTGTGGGGCGGGGCGCCGGCGGTGGGGCCGGCAGCGGGTCGGTCTGGGAGTCGGCGTCGCGGCCCGGCGGCCGCCGTGCGGTCAGCGCGGCGCCCAGCTTGTCCCTGCGGCGACCGAGCGTCGCAAAGGCGGCATCAAGTTGGCCGCTTTCACAGGCTGCAAGCCTGCATCTGCTACAATGCTTTCGGAGTCAATGCTCAGAATTTAGCAGCAACCACGTATTCACAAGCGAGCGTACGCTTGGCTTTGCGACTGCTTCGCGCACGATGATGTCACCACACAACCCGTACCGAGGCAGCCCCACCTATAGTGCCCCGCCTGGCGCTCGGCAAAGCGCAGCCGCTCCAACAGGTCGTCCGCCCGCGCCTCTGCGGCAGCGAGCGCGGCCTCCGCCTCCGCACGCTGCCCCAGCAGCTGCCGCTCCGTGTCCGCCCTCTCGGCAGACAGCTGCTGCTCCAGCTGCTCCGCGGCCTCCTCGAGCGCCTGCGGCCGGCCGGGCGTGCACGGCGAGGGTCGTGTGTGTGATATCGTGTGTGTGTGTGTGCGTGCGTGCGTGCGTGTGTGTGTGTGTGTGTGTGTGTGTGTGTGTGTGTGTGTGTGTGTGTGTGTGTG